GAGGCTGATCACCTACTTGCCTATTGGATTTAAAAATGATCATTGAATCTGTTATTCAGAAACCTGAGGCGAAGACCTAAAGAGGTTGTAGCGCCACTGATTTATTTTATTTAACTCCAACTTAGCGATATACTCGTATAAGTTCTAGGAAAGCAAGCACCTTTTAATTCAAAGTAGAGGGGCTGAAATGCCTTTGAGTAACTCTTTTTTAATGTTACCTAAAGATTCCAAGTAGCTTAGTTCGATGGCATCGGTTTGGTCTCCATAGTTTGATTGGCCTGATGTCACAGAGGCGACCGTTGTGGATCTGTAATATAAAACTAGATCACGACTTGCCGCCACGTAATAGTCATATGGTCAAGTGTATGATGTACGGGAAACATAGCGCTAAGTTTCGACTTTCTTATTATTTCTGCTGCTAAGAGCAGCAACACCAAGAGACGTCTTTTTCATAAAGAGACCTGCCAGAATGTAGCCAGAATTTCTAATAAAAATTGACGGGTTTATATGGAAAATGGTACATGACATTGTTCTATAATATAACAGTAATATTTGTTGGTATTATTGGTTTTTGCGCGGTTTCAGGTTGCAAGTTGAAAATCGAGTCCTCAAAATTAATCAAATATAAATAGAAATAGAGGAAAATGCACAATAAAAAGTAAAACCATACAAGGAGAAGATATACCACAGGAAAACGTATCTACCTCAATGAGAGTGTAAGCAACGGAAAATTTTACGTTTTAATTTGTTTTATTGTTACGGTTTTCGACTTCGGTTTCGGTGACTTTTCGTTTTGACCAAAATCACTAAAAGTGCGTGAACAAATCTGGTGCAAGTGACTAAGAACAAAGATTGGACAATTTTTTTTAATGTGTAAAGGTCACTACACAGTTAATGACTATCTAGAAGACAAAAACGCGTGGCAATAGTTCTAGTTATATTGTTATAATTTATTTTGTTATCTTTGAAGTGTTGTGAATAAGTGTGTAATGGTGAATGTGGTAAATCACAGAACAGATTTTTATTTTTTTACTTATGTTACTTTAATGACGTTGTGGTTTATGACATTTTCCTTTGAAAAATTGTAATGTAGAGGGAGGGTAAAACTTGCTGAGTTTCTTGCCCGTTCTTCTCAGAACAAACTCCTGGTAGTTTTGCGAACGGATGGCGTATTCTTGCTCTTTCGCGAATTTTGTAAACGTTTTTGACATTCATAAGCATGCCCTAAGACGTATCTAAACTGAATAAACGTATTTTGATTTTGACTTTTTAATAAAAACATAAAAAAACTATGACTTTGTATTTAGACGTAATGTAAAAAGTGTGTACGTGGCTTGAGACGTGTTAATATTGCATTAATCACTATTTTTAATGTCATACAAGAAAGGAGGTGTACAAGTAATTCGTCTCCATCGTCATAGAGTATCCTGGCGTTGCAGATGAGCCGCGAGCAATAAGCGAACATTTGCATCGGCCTGATTTCAAAGCTATATCCCGAAATATCATCGAATAAAAAAACCATTTCATCATAAACAACACACTCTAGATCCAAAATAATTAAGGTAGTTACTAAATTCTACAATGAGTTATATTGTCCCAAAAATATTATAAATCAGTTAACAGAAAATTTCGCAATGCATAACAACACTTTATCGACTGAAAGATTTTCAACTAATGGCATCGACTTAATGTAATCCTGTATTATTCGAATACAGGCTATTTTTATTTTATTTAATATATCTAACTTAAAATTATGCGGTTATCGCTGCTCTTTTGTCTTTGGTATTTATACTAGTAAAATAATGAACACACCCATAGCTGCATCCCACCGCACTGCTGTTACACCAATCATGCCGGTCGCCATATAACTCCTCTAGTAATTCTTCTATGAGAATTTTTACATCCTTTTTCTGTAAAAATAAGATTCATCATTAAATATTTGAAATGGACTAATCTCTTGGACGTGAGATAAAGCTCCTGGAATAGGGCGGAAAAGATTGTGATGGTGAAGACACTGGAGGAGACAGCCCTAAAACTGCGCAGCCCTTTGCTCTACGCCTATTTGAATGCGGATTACATAGTTGAATTGAAGTTATATTACTCAGGCCTTTACTGTCGCTCCTTTTTTCCAGGGATGCAAATTCTCGAATAAGTTCATATTTTTTGTAGGATTATGTTGAATAATTTGGACCGAAAAAATTTAAAAAATACTATATACTGACGAAAAATAAAACAATATATAGGCAGCGGCACGTAAGTCTAGCGCTGGCCGATACGTGGAGGGGATTGCTGCGCATGTGTACTGTCGCGCGGGGGACGGAATGCGACTGGAGAGCCAATCGAAACTCTTCATTCCGCTGGCCCCCCTCAGGTACCTTATTTTTTACTTCTGCGCAATAACGGTCAGCGCTAGAGTTTCGTGCCGCTACTTGTACTGGTATAAAAACATAGAAGTCACTAAGTACAAAACACGCACTAATCACTTATCTTTTTCCAGTTTTGAGAACAACTAGCAACTAGTACGTTCCAAAGACTTTGAATACGCAATGTTTAATCGATCTAATAGAGATATTATATCTCTAGGCCCTATGGCCGAGGACAATCGAGAAAATAAAAAATATGCTTTCAATAATTTAATATTTGTAAAGGTTACAATAGGTACTTACTTTCTGTGGATTTACAACTGGTGGTGAGGGTATTTCAAAATGTTTTTTAAATGAGGGTACTTTTATTTCTTTCTTTCTCCTCTTCATCTGCCTGGGCTTGTATAGACTTGAAAAATCTAATTCATATTTCACAACTTTTAAATTGAATTGTTCGTTTATTGTTATTGTTTTCATTGTTGACACTTGGTTGGTTTTAGCCACAGATACAGATTTGTCTATTCATAGAACCTTGGTTATAGTTGATTAAAAAGGTTAATTGGTCGCACAGAATTACTATACCCAATAATATATATATGTTTGATTCACAATATCGTATTTAACACATATTTTATTCCGTTTCAAGATCCTTAAACACACATATTTTTGTATTTTACATTGTAATTTATTTCTTTAACAATTATTATTATATTGTTAGGTATCAACCATTTAAAACTTGTTTTACCAATGCACAGTTTAATTAACTAACATACTTATTTAAAATTCAATTATCAAATCTATATACGAAACCGATCTTTATTTGGTCTATCTACTTTGGTCTAGTAACGTTTTTTTAAACGACACAAGCGGTATTAATTTAAAACGCTAATGTTATGAAAGGATGGCACAAGGCGATAGACTCCCACTCAATTGTTGTCCGCCTGATACTGTTGATAACGTTTAATTTATTCACTGCATTGCATATACAATTAGATAAAGGTCACCACTCAATAATTTAATATTCTTTTAACTAGATATTTAAATACACCACATCATATATTTTCTACAGTATAGGTTACAATCTATCTATTCTAAAATTCATTATTTTTCTAGAAATTTTTTACTTAAAAATGCATCATCGTTTAATAATAATAGTCGATAGACGCTATCTATTATTAACAACTATTATATATCAACTATATCAACAATAAACAACGATTTTTTTAAATTGATCAGCCTTGCGATTCTGTAACTCACTTTTCGAACTCTCACAGCGGTTTTCGCAGCGGCGGTCGCGCTCAAATCAGTCGTAAAATGACTGCTTCGCGACTGATTTGAGCGCGACCGCCGCTGCGAAAACCGCTATGAGAGTTCGAAAAGTCAGTTTCAGAATCGCAAGGCTGCCCACTACCGAAAATATCAAGCTGTGAATAAATAGCGTTCATTCTGTTGTATTTGCGAAGAATTGGAATGAGAAGTGCCTGATTTTTTTGTAAATTAATAAAATATGGAACTATTAATAACGGCCAGCTTCTAGAATATCTAGAGGGCCACCAGTTGATTAACGATAGCGGCTTTCGTCGTGTTTGCCCACCATCTCGTTCAATTTACTCATTGGGCAGAGGCAATTGAGTCTAAGGGGCAGTGCTGGTGGTTACTTCGTAAGAATTCTTAAAAGGCCAGCAACGCACTCTGGCAGTGTAAGTGACCACGGGCATTATCACTGAACAGGTAACTTCCAAACCCTTTGATCCCTGTTCTTTACAAAAAACGCAAATAAGAGACATATTTTATTACATATCCTGAAAACTTCGGGATTAGTTCTTTAAAAGAACCCTTTGATTCCAGAATTAGTAATACAGGGAATCTATCTTTTTTTTTTTACGATTTTTACGAACTCAAATAAATTGGGGCAATGTTTAATTGTAAAACGATCCTTAGCACCATTTTTACGAGTACTTGATAAGGTTTACTTAATTATTCCCAACGAGTGCCTAAACTTAAAGCATTTCAGTTAATTTATGCTATCAGCAAACGTAGTTAAGATAGTTATGCTTCACGAACTAACTTGTCTAACTTCGATATTAGCGTAAAGTTAAAGCTACATTTCAACTACACTTAGCTGGTTCTGATACCATCTTTGCATTGTACCTTCTAGATTTTAAACTAAAAATAGCCTTTTTTTCTTACACACAATTGATTAAAAACAAACAAAGTCTGTTTGCCGATCAAAAAAGCCTTCTTCAGACCTTTTCATCCTGCCTATACTCGCCCTACTCTTGACCAAACCTCGCCTGCGACCATAATTTCATCTTCTCTTTCAGATTTTAAACTTATGAAATTGTGACAATTCCAAAATTTATATTTAATTTGGTGACCAGTAACTAAGTCTTTCAAGTCCTCTTTTAGGTCATAATTAGGAAAATATTTGCTCAATTTAACCATACATTAGCTATTAATGCATTGTTAAGCACAGTAAGCACAGTCCAGGTATAAAATAATATTTCTAATATAGGACCTTCATGAAGAATTCTTCAACGCAAATGATCGTTGCCGTTCGGTTGCCATGACAACCATTAAACAGTTGATATCTGCTTCGCATTTCGTAAGCTTTTACAAAGTATTTTTTGGAGAAGCATGAGTGAGGAACATTCATCAGAAAGACAGTCAGGATTCTGTTCTGCGACTTGCAGTGATAGAGCAAGTTTGCGGAAGGAGATCGGGAAAAAAGAAGTCAAGACCTCGGACGTATTTGTAACCTGCAATTTGCCAAAGAGATTTGAACATCCACGTAAGAAATGGAACTTATTATTTATTTATTTCGTAATCCAACTGCTAACATAAACTATATATATAACAGAAAAAATACATAATATATACAAAAAGGTTCAAATATTTACGAAAGGAAGAAATCAAAAAAATAATTAAATGCATTTAACCAAGTACCTAATACCTAATTCGGCGGTGTTGTGTGATGGTGTGAAAGTAGAAGAATGTATGTTTTTGATGGTGTGGCTGTGGGGTGTGCTTGTAATGCAGGCTATTTAGCGCTATGGATATTCTTAATATTTCTTTTAAGCGTGTTCCGCAATAGTTTTAACAAAGCTTAAATAGTGGAGGTTGTATGTCCGGGCTGCACGATACAAAACTGAGTTATTTGCATAGTTGGTGTTGATGTGATGAACATTTTATAGAAAATGAATATTTGGTAAATATTCCGTATCGCAGCATCAGCGATTTTGAGAATGATTTTTTTTATGACTTCGTCATGAGTTCTCAGCACCATAACTAGTGTTGTTATGATGGCGCATGACCTTTTTTGCAAAAAAAGTACCCAAAACCGAATCAGAGCACCCCACTATCCACGTGGTCTTGTCTGCCTTACCCATAGAGTGTATATAAAAAATCGGAGGCGCGGAGGAAGAGCATCCCCCACCCGCTGTAACAAAGCACAGGCATTATGCAAGTCTATGCTTGAATAATATGCCTGTGCTTTGGTACGCAAGGGCGAAGAGGCTGCATTTCTTGCAGCGCCGGAGCTGTCCAAAATACCTATTATTAATATTGTTCGGTTAGTTTAGGTTAGTATATTAATATTTTTACTAAACAAATTGAATTTTATTTTCATGCGCCATCATAACGATACTAGTTACGATGTTTACAGATCATAACGCGACTGTAAAAAAAAATCAGCCTCAAAATCGCTGGTGCCGCGATACGAAATATTTACCGCTATATTATTAGTTATCTCATTATCATAGGTGTCGTATTAAGAGGAATCAAAATTTTCCTCATATTTAAACAAGAGCTATTTAGCCGTTTTTGCTACAAGTTCATATTCTTTCTGCTATATCTATTATTAGTTACCTCGTTATTATAAGAACAACACAGTTGTACTTTTTATTAGGTATAGTTCTTGCTGGAGTTTCAAATTGGTTTATTCTGGTCTACAAATCAGAATTTTGAGAACGTGCATTTCCATAACATTCAGGCCCCTTATGACATCCAATAGCAATTCCGATGTCCATAATGAGGTTTTCTCCCACACGATACCAAGGTTTCAACATCGACGCTGCGGATATTAAGGGAAATAGAACGTTCTTGCATACAAAACCTCGGGATTGGTAATGTTATCGCTATTGGAAGGAAGATTAATTTTGTCCCTGTCCATCTGGGTTGTTGTAACATCGAACGAAAAAGTTTGTATTTAATCTAGAGTTACAAGTACAGTCACAGACAAAACGTAGATATAATTAAACGAACCCGCATCAGTGACTATCGATATTATCTGTGCTATGAATGGGTTCAATGACTTTTGATTAACGCTAGTTTTAATAGAATCAAAATCTATAAGGTATTATAGGCATTTCTTGAATCATGTTAGCTGTTAACATCGGGAAGTAAAATTTCAGAGAGAACATTATATTATGGTCTTAGAAATTATATAACTAACACTTATAAAGATACGAATAAGCTACTGTAAATACTTCTGGCTTCGATAAGATTTTTTTAAGTCGAAGCCATAAACAATCAATTGCATCTTAAATGCAGAAATAAGAGATTTATTTTTTATTATTTCAGATTGGTTCAATGGTTATGGATGTCAATTGAGTAAGCAACATCCATTTTACAGAACTTCGGCAAGTGAATACGGCTGGTTTCCGCCAGGTATGTTATAAACTACGACCAGTTATTAGCGCAGAGGTGTTTAGGAATGTTTTTCTACATAAAGTGCAAGGCCGTGCTTTGACCAATTTCTTCGGCTGTCATGGAAACTATCACCATTTTGACAATTGCAAAGCGCTCATACTCCCTATACTAAGTAATACGTCGACGATATCATAGCAGCTATCCATAGTATATCCTAATAAATACGATTGATTCATATGAAACGGCAGGGGAACATAGCACCGCTCTGGTTTCTTTATTTTAAGCATTGCTTGCCGATTCCTTATTACGATGTATTGCAGCGTTTTTATGTATTGTTCCATGTGATTGTTATAAAAGTGTTTTATATATTAAAGATGTTGTATTTATGAAGGCCTCACGCTTAAGCGTCTTACGCATCTATATTTCTATCAACCTCAAGAATATGAACATTGGGAGACCTACACAGTACACACGCCTAAGTACCAATTTCATTATTTGTGTGTTCTATTTTTATTACCATTTTAGGTTTGCATTCCGTTCCTACATCGTATTATCCGAAGAGCCCAAGTTTCTCCAATTATCTCGCAGCTGCTGGGATGTATCGCAATTATTCGTTGAACACAAAAATGGATCCACCATTTATTTAATAATTTTAAAGCATTATAAGCAAAAATGTAGTTATAAGAAATAAACGTATTTAAGCTGATTTGTATGTTTTATTCGTCAATATGTCAATTATTAAATTTATTACTATAAATATGCCACACTTTTTTAGTTACTTACTTTTTTATTTATAGAACAGAGGCTCATCTGATGTTAAGTGATACCGCCGACCATGTACACTCATGGCAGAATGCACTCGCCGGGCGTTTAAGAATTGGTACGCTCTTTTCTTGAAGGGCCCTAATAGTACGGGAGGTAGCAACGTTTTCGAGAAAGAATTTCAGGTCAGCTGATTTTGTGATATGTCTTCCTTCTTGCACTTTCGGTTAGAGTCTGGGCAATCTGGCAGGCGGTAGCGGTTGTGTTCATTAGTGCGCATCCTATCTGTCCAGGTAATAATCCTGGATTTTAAAAGCATTTTAAGAAGCGTAATATTTAATTTTTCGTTTTTAAATAAGAGTACCTGACATACTTTTTTTATTGCCAGACATTTTTCACTTTGCTAACTATGTGCCAGACGCGATTTTATGTTTTTTTTTATAAAAATTTCAAAGTATTTTAGAATGTCTGTAATTTTAATATTATGTTATTTAAATATAAGAAAAACTAAAAATGAATTTGCCAGACATCAATTCGATTGTTAAGCCTTGAATTAAAATGAAAAAGTATTGCAGTATGATGAAGCATTACATTTTAAGAAGCGTAATTTTAAATTTTTCCTTTTTAAATAAGTCTACCTGACATACTTTTTTTATTGCCAGACATTTTTCACATTGCTAACTATGTGCCAGACGCGATTTTAAGTTTTTTTGACCTAAAATTCTTTCTTTTCAAACGTTGCTACCTCCCGTACTATAAGTTGAATTGGTTTGCAAATTCTTATCAGTATATCCCGTGGATTGGTGGATTGAAGTATATCGTTGCCATGGTTACCATTTGTTTTATATGATGTTAACATAACGTAACTAACGCTTGCTTTATTGCCAAATCTGGATCTTCTAATATTAGATTATTTTGTTTGATTAGAATAATGTGTGTTTTATAGCCACACCTTCAATCTACTGCTTTAATCACTGCGATAACGGTATGCATTGATACACGCTAACAGAGTTATCTCGACCGCAAAGGATATATAGATCTTCTCGACCTTAGCCACTGGGTCCTTCGGGCCTGCCAGTTAGACTTGTCGAGAATCCCTTTAGTTCGGAAAAGTATTTACAGAAAATATAATATCAATGTACTATTTTATTACTAGATGTTTTTGCAACTAAAGTTTTAAATGATTTAGCTAATTGGTTCATAAGCTAAATCAGCTGATAGATTATTATCGTTCGTAGCATTGAATGTAGCTTTTTAGTTCTTAGTAATCTTAAGATTTTCATCATATATTTTCTAAAAACACTCATCATTGAATAACGTTGTTATTGATTTTACGTAAAATAATCTCAAAATAATTAAGCCGTATTGTATAGTTGTCAATGCTTGGATATAAATCATAATAAAATAATGGTTCTCATTCTAGGTTACCATTCAGTCCCTTCGGTATTTTTCCCCGCTGGTCAAACGTTCACAAATCGTTTATCCGCAGCTGGCATGTACAGAAATTACAGCCTAAATACTGGCATGGACCCTGCTGGATATCGTTAATTTTAGATTTACTGCAATAGCTTATCTATACTTAATCTATTATTCCTCATGATTGTGATATTATCTGTTTAGAAAATATTTAATTTTAGAAGTGTTCTGATGTTCAAATCAAAACTCTTTACTAATTTGTTTAGAACTTTGTTTTTAAATTTTGTAATTTGAATTTAGAATAACAGTGAATGTAGTTTCTTTGTCTAATGAGTTTGTATAGGTTAATGAAACAACAAATAAATTACTTACCAAAAGAGGTATTTGGTATATATTTATTATATAGATTAACATGCAATCAAATTCCTTTAAATTTAGACATGGATGTCATTAATATAATGAGGATACTTAAACAAAATTATTGCTTTGATTACGTGATAAATACCCCAATTAATGAACTATTTGGAGATTTTATACAAATAAATGTTGGTGTTATATTCACGACAGACCATGTCTCTTTAATTATATAAGATTGTGTCAAGATATAACCATTTAATTTTATACTGTTACGAAAACTACAAGTGAAATAATCTAGTTTTCGTACGATTAATTTTGATTACCTTATTAAAGTGAACGAGCTTTATCCCACCACGTCCAGGCTACGTGTGATACGGAAGTATGCATTGGTTTTTCTTGATTCTTGTAGCTTTCGCACAGTATATTTTGATTTTATCATGACAAATCATTTTACGAGTAGATACATGTATAACTTTTTTAGCAACAACAACAACAGCATTATATTAAGTTTATAATTTATATTTTATCATTTATTTCGAGGATCGTCTAAAAAAACAAAGGAAAATCAGTACCATCTATGGTCATAGTAGCAAACTTTATGAGTACTCAAATGTAATGCCTTTTTGGTTGTAACTTTTTGATGAATTATTTTTCTTCTTAAAAATAAAATTGGAATGAGTTTATTGCTATGATAACGTTCTCAATTATAGTTAAAGCAAGGTGAATCCTCCCATAGGACATATTGTAGTCCTTTTTACGAATATTAATAACATAAATGTATTGAATGAATCAGGTGTTGAGCAAAGGAGTCGTCACAGAGGTAAAGTTTAAAGAAGTCAAAGATACATATATTATAATATTTAATAAGAAAATTAATAAATAAATCGGTGGTGCTACAACCTTTTTAGGTCTGAGCCTCAGATTTATGAATCTGTCTCATGATCGTTTGTCAATCAAATAGGCAAGTAGATGATCAGCCTCCTGTACCTGACACTCGCCGTCGACTTATACCCAAATTATAAGGCTTCCTCACGATGTTTTCCTTCAGCGTTCAATGTGCACTTGTGCACAGCCGTGGAGCCTACGAGCTCGGGGATGAGAATCGTTTCCTGAAGCCCTAGTGGCTGGCCAACACTGTTCAATATTGATAAAAGAAATAAAAAAAGTTATATGAGTCTAAAATAGCATTACATTAAAGTACTCTTTTCATCTTAACCGATACAAATTTATATTTGCTAATGGTTTCGTGTCAAAATCTAACTACGAGTGCAAATACATATTTTCTAAACATATCGTATGTTTGTGACTCAACGCCAAGGCCCCAGCAGCAAATACACAATTCTATTGACTTCAATTCACAGACTAAATCTAGTTGGTCTAGTCTAGTCTGTGCTTATCATAAACTCAACTTGCCCATTCTGAATCCTCGTTCTCTTAATTATAACATGTAATCTTCGTTGTACAACAGTAAATGGGATGATATGACTTGCGAAAATAAGTTTAAAATGTAATTTCTACTTAGGAGATACACATCTTCTATAAGCACTTGTCTCTACTGTGCAGATTATCAATTCCAGTACACACTTGTGGTGACAATAATTAAATAGTTCAGGATAACCGCCGTATTCTGAGTATCTACTCTCTCGATCTCTAACGAGCAACTTTGGGAGTGCTGCCAAGAAACCCCGATTGGCCAGCAAGTCAAGCGAAATACATACAATCCGAAGAGATTCCAAATATATTGCCAAGGAGGCGCTTGGAACACGCAAGGAAATCGGAGGCGTGGCCGTCCCAAGCAAACCTGGCGTCGTACAGTTCCAGAGAAAGAGAGCCGGAAAGACTTGGAACGAAGTGAAATACGAGGCTCAAGACCGAACGCGATGGAGACTCACTGTGGACGCCCGTGTATCTAAGGGTTATAGGAGATTAAGTCAAGTCGGTACTGCCAGTATAGTATTTACCAGAATATATGTTAAGACTTTATGTAAATACAATAATATGATTTAAATATTCTCCGCAATAGTACTTATAGAAGCCTCTGTTATGTGTTCTGTTCGCTTGTCACTCTAAGTTATCTTACAAAATCAGCTACTACTAAAGTTATTACTAAATTTGCTACTGAATATTAAGATAGATTTATAGTCGAAGCACGCACAATAATAACAATGTGAAATGTCACCTGATATGATAAAATTGATAATGTCAGAGCAGTCTTTTTTGCTAACAAATTTATACTAAGAAGCAAGGAAAATAATAAACATATGAAGACAGAAAGCTAAGAGGAAGAAAGCAATGTAGTAGACGTTATATAACTCCTTATATCTAATACTACTAGGATTAAATAATACTATAAAATGTGGAATACACTGCGTTCAACAATATTGTCTTAAATAGCTTATTATAGATACTAACAATACTCTATAGATAGCATTTCCGTCGCCCACGAAATAAATAAATCTGAAAGATAAGCTATACTTGTAGCAATATCATGTTCTTTGAGAATATTTCAGAGAGATTCATCCAACTACAACTCTCATTCTGAATTTCAAAAGTATGAGCTTCAATCACAATATAGCTTTTATGATTTGTAAAATTCACATATTTTAACTAACTGTAAAAAATCTATTACTATCAACACTTAAACTAAATGTTCAGGAAGAGGCAAACAGGAAATCCGTTATGGATTTTTGCTACTTTTAATTTATCTTATTATGCTTTGAATAAAATGTTTTAATCTGAAGAATATTGCTTTTAGGCAATTTAATCATATAATGCAAAAACACATTCTGTAATTGATTTTAAGTACAATAATATTATTAACGTATGTTTTTGTTTGTGAGACGAGAAGTATTAATAATACCATAATTTAATCGTTACTTAATTTCTGTCACAAAACGTAAAATTTTGTATTTGTTGGTTACTCTACAATCTTGTGACCCCATTCTATTTTGCTTAACTGAAATAAAATTCCAATCTTTTAAACGAAAACAAATCAATTAAACCGTCTACATATCCCCGAAGATCCCTGCGAAGGTCTTTCGGAGATTCTTCATGGTGTCTTCCGCGTCTTCAGTGAGCGCTGCGCTCAGAGATCCTTGGCGGGAAAAGCGGCTTCCGCCAGAGTTTGTTGTAGTGGCAGTGGCGGTGGTAGCTGGTACGGCAGATGTTGAGGAGACCGTTGATGATTGGGATACTGTAAAGTTGCGGAAATTAATAGTAATTATCATTTGGCTTATTATAGAAAGGCGTTTGAAATAAATATTAACTCATTGAAATTAATACACAGTCAATTGAAAATGTCGCATTAAGGGTTACATTTAAATTTAAATACTTTGAGAATCCCGACGAGTTAGTGGTGGTGGTGGTGGCTGTGATGGCTCCGCTGGTATCGGAGGTAAGGGTCGGTCGATGCTAGTGGCTGTAGCAAGAGGCGCGGGAGGTGGGACGCTAGGGGGACCTCCTGGTACGTGAGCTGGGGTACGTTCTTCTGGCGAAGCTGCTCCACTGTTGGATACGGAGCTTCGGGATGTCGTTTTGGTGATACCCGGACGGCAGACGTTCTGAAAATTAGAACAATGGGCTTAGACTTTTTGATAAATACGTCGTAAAATGATTATGGTTAAAAGTGCACGTTTGAGACAGATTTAGCAATTTCCAAATCTAATTAATTTTTAATACTTTTCTTGAAACTTTGTCAGTAATTCTAAAATGATATCAATCGTTTGTATCATTGCGTAAAATATATAATCTTTGTTTTCACAAATAACGAGAGCAATAGGTTTACCTGCATCCGTTGGAAGACAAGTTCGGCAAGATGGCGCCGGTCTTCTTCCTGCGAGTCACCCATGAATGAGGTAGCTGAATCGTTTAGCTCGATGATGTGTTCGCGCCCATCCTTTCCAACAACTAGTTCTAGGGCACATACTTCGAGACCACCGAAGATTTCGCTCACCTATAAAATGTTACGTATTCATGATAGCATTAATTAGTAAATCTAGTAGCAGTACATGCCTATACATTATATCTGTCATTAGTAAATTTTCTTAATAGGGAAGTATGTTAACCTTGACAGTTAAAATAAATAAACTTAAGTGGAAATAGGCGGGGCGGGGCATATGGCAAGAGAAAACAGAAAAGTGGAGCAACGAAGTACTAAGCAATAAACGCAAAACAGGAAGACAATTTAGTGGATAGACCAGATTAACAGCAGATGGTACATGGTAGTGAGTGGCACAGACATAAATGTCGGGATTTGGATTTGGCGTTTTCCAAAAAAGCGCACACATATATCTAGGAATAAATGAGATGATGGATATATAAATGTAAAGTATCTGAAATAAAAGGCTTTTATTGTTATTATGTCAGGCACAGGAGGCTGTAAAAGGTAGTCGATGAGTCTTGGATATAGCGGTTGCCTTGAAACTTTCCACCATCGTATTGGTACTCATTAATTGCGCAAATAAAAAAATACATTGGTCGAAAACGCAGGCTTTATTACATTATCATGTCTTTAATGTAATAGGACATTGGGTATTTCCATTATCGTTTAATTAACTAATTTTCGACGAATCAGCCGAAAATCGAAGCGAATCACATTCAAGTCCTCTATGTCAAACGCCATGTGCTATCAATTCAGCTGTGGTGACGGGAAAACGGAAAGTAAACCGAAAGGAAACCTTAGAGTTTGTACAAATAAGGGATAGCAATTTATTGTGAATTGTTTATTCTATTTGAGCTTTGAGATCCCAAACGTGACCTTCCGAGAAACAAGGGAAATCGATACTACGATATTTTATTTCACCAATAAGAGGTTGAAGTGAATATAATGATCACGGTTGCTATAACATTGTACGTTTTAGTTATTTCTGAGTCTAATAAGTTCATGCTGTCTATTGTATTTAGATTTCTAGAGTTGATTAATGTGTGTGTGTTTAAATACAAGAATAAAAGAAACTTATATTTTAATTATGTATGAAATACATATTTTTTATGTCATAAATTTTAACCAGGGTGATCTAAAATATTTTGATCGCTTGCTTCTATGTTTGGTTCGAGTTATGCTAGACGCATTTTTATTTTTATTATCTTTTTGCCAATTATACTTATTATTAGTAACGTCCGCAATTTTATAATTTCGTAGTGAGTATTTTGTGCGTATTGTAAACTAATTTATTTATTTGCTCATGAGTATTCCTACAGCTACTCATTAAACAATTACATTATACATAGAAGCCAAAAATGGAATACACATTCAAACATAAACATACAGCACAGTTAATAATTTTACCTATTTATACAAAATAAAGTAGTTACATTAAATATATCTATTTGCTGGTAATTTGTGTTATAATCTGAAGGTATACGAATATTATTCCCAAACTAATTTGGATGAAATGATTGAACGACTATGTATATCGGAATATGGTATCCCCTCAGGGCTTATTATTTTAATATAAAATTGTGTAACAACAGCCACCGAACCGTTCTTTGCAAACTATGCTTATTTGCCCGTCCGGTGTTGTATGAACTTTGTATTTGATTGTCTTGTGTGTGAATTGAATGAACAAAATAAATAAAATTAGGCTTAATATCAGGCTTTTCACTCAGTTTTAATGGTAAATTAATAGGTAATAAATAAATGTTAGCTACGAATTTGATACTTGAGTAACTAACAACTTACTAAGTTAAGTTGTTATTTCCGACGAGTTAAAAGCTTTTACTTAAATTTCTTAGTAGTTTGACTAACCCTAATTGAAGGCTTATTCCAATTCGTATTTTAGGTAATAATATTTTCTAGGAAATAAATGTAAAAAATACGTTAAACTTCATATGCAACGTTTCCCAGTAATTGCAAATACTTGAAATAAGTTTTGCGTTTTAGAATAAAGCAATAACGGCTGTTACAAAATACTACTCGTATTTCATATCGTTTCAATATAAGGACTGGTTCGCTTACCTCATCAATCCACATCTTGTATCTATCATTCATGCCGATAGCTTCCAGCATTGCTGATCCCTGATTAGTTTTCCAGTTGCCAGATATAGACTTGCGCCTAAAACACAGTAGTAAATATTAATCGTACTGTTTATAGTAAATGTTCACATTTGCGTCTAAAGGTATATTGCCTCATTTGAGGAAAATTAAGACATTCCAAATTCGAAAATAGCATGGTGTCGTAACAAGCGTGATATCTTAAAAGTCGTTTTGCGATAGTACCACGTCTGGGAAGTAAGGGACATATCTAGACTGTTCCAACTAAATGTTTCGCTTTATTTTAACACGACCTTAATATAACCTTGGAGATTTGTATTTCGAATAAGTCAATGGGACTTATTTTAATTCGCGAATTATGTACTAAAGTGTGTCGCAATAGTTTTGGCCTATTGCATAAATAGCCATACAATAATTTTGACTCTCTAATCTCTTTGTGTTACGGTATAAATCACAGCAGAAATATATGAATTGAATAGCAGCATATGGGCACAGCTCCTATAAATTGATACCGAAAGCCTTTTGTTAGTAAAAGTCTTACAACATATTAAACGTGAAATATCTATCAGGCGCTTTATGAATATAATAAAAGCATTATTAATACCTTTAATCTACAAATTACGCTTATTTCATTAATTATTGTTCCTATTAAAGATATCTAAAAATGTTTGTTTATTTGTACACATAGGAACGATTGATTTAAATGGTATTTTGTATAGTTAATGTATGGTTGACAGGTTGACAATTAGTATAATTAACGCGGGAGATGACTTGACGTGTAATTTTAGTCTGAGACGTCTTGGATTTAGTTGTACCGTATTTTTTTTATATAGCACATAGTTTAACATTATAGTTATTATAATAAGTATTTAAAAACAACCCTAACTTACTGAAAAGAAATATTACTATAAGAAAGTGTCCAATCACACTTCTTACACTCTCTATATAGGGTAAGACTATTCTTGTGTACTATTCTTTATCCACTTACCACTGTTTAGCAGTTAAGACTTACGTGCACTCACACTAGTTCACTAATTCGAATGGGTTTTTCCTTTTCTATCATCTCACTAGGCCCGTGGTTATTTAAATAAACAGAGCATTAATATTTTGTACTTACATAAAAGCTTTATAGTTGGTGCCGATCTTCTGTATGTGGATATCATATTTAGCGTCGATGTATGGCTCAACGGTGCAGTAGCTACCCAACATTGCAACAACGCCAGCGATGTCCTTAAAACAAAAACTAATCGTTAAGATTTGTTGAGTAATTCGTGAATTTGTTATTTCTTGTTAAAGTAAAAACGTTGTATGCTATGTACTACTTTTTTATTTGATTGTCTTTGGCTTTAGTAACGGAGTTTTTTTTAGTAATCGTTTTTTAATTACTCTTGTAAAAATCCTTGTATGAGTAGAGTACTTCTTTGTGCTATTGATATTATTTTTCTTTCTGAAATCTCCAATCTACATATTTGAATTTGTTGTGGTTTATTGTAGGATTATTTTAATGGTACGGTAGGTACGTTCATTTTTCAATGGCTTGTTATCAAAGACATAAAATCTTAATAAATTGTATAGTGTTTACAGAAATAAATTATTTTATTTGAATTGTAGTTTAAAATTTTGTTAGTAAAATATACGAAATATGGGTTCACTTAGTTTCACCTTTATATGATTTTTAACCTGATACATATCAATATATTATGGAACATTTTGCTATGCTACCCCATAGAGACTGTTCTCTTTACCGGAATAAAAACCTAAGTACTAAATAAAACTATTTTCATAACTTTTTCTAGGAACAATAAAAAAAAATATTACTCGCATTGGGTAATCCATGTTGGAGTTTTGCCCTAAGCAACATATTTTGCAATTCATATTTATGGAGTATAACCATTAAACCTTCGTGATGAAGCCAAGCGGCTTCGTGATTTTTGATTGCTAAGTGCTTATAACTGTAACATACCTTGTGTGTAGTTAAAATATCGTGTTATACTCCGATATCAATCGACAATTTAGTAATTACAGTGTTTATGACTAACCTATAAAATATGAGTTATTTTTAATAGGTTATTGTAATTATTGATTTTGACATATTTTAATAGTTCCCGCTACCAGGTTTCAGAGTCCAAATCCAATACGTTTTTGACTTAAGGGAGTCAGACCTGGCATTGAATCTTACCCTAATGGTTCAAAAAAGACGCAACTCGAACTAGGATGCATTTTTTCATACGCGAGTCAGTCTTAGCTCTTTGTCAGTCTTAGCTCTTAGTCAGTCCTAGCTCTTGGTCAGTCTTAGCTCGTAGTCAGTCATAACTCTTAGTCAGACTTAGATCTTAGTCAGACTTAGATCTTAGTCAGCCTTAGCTCTTAGTCAGCCTTAGCTCTTAGTCAGTCATAGTTCTTAGTCGGTCATAGCTCTTAGTCAGTCTTAGCTCTAAGCCTGTCTTAGCTCTGAGACAGTCTTAGCTCTTAGTTGTTAGTCAGTCTTAGAACGCTTGAAACGCGTTAGAACTCTCGTTTTTGAACACCGATGCTGGTGTGATCGAATAAGTCCTAACGATTGCTCATCCGTACTTCAAACTCAGCGTTGATATTCACAAACTTATACCCTTAGGTAACACACGTAGCAGATTTTCATAACGTTATTTCTCCATAAAATCACTTTTATTAGCTTACAAATTGTACAAAGCTAACCATAGTTAGGCTATAATTATGGTAATTATTAAGTCGCATTAATAGACTTTATAAATCGTATAAACTGTTTATAATTTAATTAATTCCATACAGTGCTCAAATAAAGTACAAAGTAATACCTCAAAAGTATTACTTTGTGGCGGTTGAAAGGAATAAAAGTTAAGCTGGGATTATAAGGGAGAGTGTGAAAAGTCTATAAAAAGCGAATGTGGTTATAAAAAAGTTTGTATAGCTTGTTTAAATGAATTTTGGTCTCACAGCGTAAACATTTTTCCAGGCTTTATTAATCGAGGTGAAAACCTTGTGAGAGTAATTTAACGAATATTTTTGTATCTTATGTGTGTCTGCTTCTGTTTTATAGATAATTTATCTTTATACGTAGGTCTCCTGATCCTAACACACAATCGTTAATTAAATTTTAAACCAACTTCGAAAAACTTGGAGGAGGTTAATAATTCGACTTGTTTTTTGAAGTTATACTTCTTTAGGCGCGTTATGAAAAATTGATGAGAGTGAATTTTACGATGCGCGCGCACCTGAGACACAAAGTTGTCAGTGTGATTATAGCGTGCGCGAGCGAGATGGGAATAAGACAATCTACAAGTAAAAAGAAATAGAATATGCGTGAAGTTAGCAGCTATGCCAAGAATTTTGAATGACCATAATGACATTTACCTTTTAAACAAATAAAGGAGTTTTAATTATTTTTTCAAAGAAATTTAGCAATGCTTTTTCACAAAGACCTATTGTTACTTAGTTAAAAGGTTATGAAACCTACCTAGTTATTAAATTGAATGAATAATATAATAAAATAATAAATAATAATAATAATTGTTATTAATATTAATTAATAATTGAATAATATACTTAATATTAAATATTATTAAATTGTTTACGTTAAATATTAATTAATTATACTTAAAAAAAATAAAGAAAGCCAAAGAAGTATAACTTCTTACGCGCGTACATAAGTACACGCAACCTTTTTTTTGTGTGTATGTTTCAGTATTACTCCCCGGTCCGTGGACCGATTTTGATAATAGAGCTTTCCAATTTGCAGCATGTAGTTCCCAAACAAAAATGATTTTGTAAACAGATTGATAGTTTTCGGTATATTAACGGCAATGGCATAAAGATGTAAATTCCCACCGCTATCCTGCTTATAACTTGAAATGAATAAGGAATATGTCGGCTATTTAAAGATAACACCCAAACAATAACTTATAAAAATCCATAACCAAGTGACCATAATATAAAGTGAACTGTTACCACCTTTTTACGACTATTAATTTAAATTTCAAAAATTCAGCTACAACTGCCCCGAAACCAATAATGTCACCACATAATTTTACTTCTTAGGAATAAATCATAAAAAAAAATGTTTTTCATTTAACAACAATTCATTATAATGTGTAAGATTTGGGAACCCTTTTAAGTAAAATAATACCTGTGTGAGTGTTTCCAGCTCTTCGATAACAAACTTCATAGTAATTTCTAATAAATAAAATCTTTTTAATTTATTTTTGTTTTTTTAACATATCAACACGGCTGAGTGCATGAGTGAGTGTGTGGGTGCATGTTAGTGAGTGCGTGAGTGAGTGGGTGAGTAAGTGAGTGAAATGTGTAACTAGATATTCGGTCTCAGAAGCATTTCCAAATTCAAATTCAAATTCAAAAATCATTTATTCACGTAGGTAACACAATGTACACTTGTGATTCGTCATTAAAGAAATACATATTAATGCTTCTAATTTTACATTTACTTCCAGTTCACAAATCAAGGGCGTAGAACGGAAGAGAAGAACTGGCAATAAACTCTCCGCCACTCTTTTTAATCGCCATGTTTTTTTTTTACACAACGTTTGTAAGGAGCTGCAACCATTTCACCATGTTGCACATGACATCTTAAGTAATTAATAATAATAACATAAATTAAAAACAAAGACTTGTCCTCTATCAGCAGGAGGCATGGTGAAATAGGAGCACGCACTTACATTCTCGTGGGAACAACACGCAAACACATAGTCGAAATAATTAACATCACCGCATACACGAATTCAAGTACGACCAGTCACCACAAGTAGCACCCGTTCACGAGTATGACGCATGGCCAGCCATCGGCCCCCTCGCCATATTTTAGGGAGAGAGACAACCCGACGCATGGACGCCGCCACAAACAATGACATTTAAGCGAGCATGACGATCCTTGAAATGTGGACTTGGCTACATAAGAAAATAATAATAATACTGAAATAATTTGATACCACATGGATCACGGTTTGTTCCCACTTTAAATTAATACAGTCGTGGATGTTGACGATCGCCCCGGAGTCTGGAAATGCAGCCGAGAGATTCAGTCGCGTTACCTATTTATACTGGAGCAACTTATATCCAAGCACTAGGATCGCTTAAATATTCATTTATATTATAATAGGCCTTAGCAAGCAGTTTTACTTTAATGTACGACTTAAATTTATTTATTGACAACTCTTGTATCTCACTAGGGATTTTATTGAAAAAACGTATACAATTGCCTTGGTAAGAATTACTCGTTTTATGCAGCCTTCTGGTTGGTGCGCTAATTTTGTCTTTATTACGAGTACTATAATTATGGAAGCTACTATTCTTTTTAAAAATATCTATATTTTTCCGCACATACAAAATATTCTCATAAATGTATTGACTTGCCAACACTGCGTAAGGTGTGTTCATAAGCCAGTCCTTTAATGAATTAAAATAAATCAGTGGCGCTACAGCCTACAACCTCTTTAGGTCTGGGCCTCAAAGTTTTGAATCGGTTTCATGATCTTTTTAAATCTAATAGGCAAGTAGGTGATCAGCCTCCAGTGCCTGACACACGCCGTCGACTTTTGGGTCTAAGACATGTTGGATTCCTCATGACGATGTTTTCGTTCACCGTTCGAGCGAATGTTAAATGCGCACATAGAAAGAAAGTCCATTGGTGCACAGCCGGGGATCGAACCTACAACCTCAGGGATGAGAGTCGCACGCTGAAACCACTAGTGCTCTTTTAATGAATTACTTTTGAAAATATTATTTATTAATTAATTTGTATTATAGTATTATAGAACTACTACTACGTTAACAAATCAGTGTTGCTTTTAGCAATTAAAAGCTGCAGAAGCTTTCTTTATTGTTTCTGTTTTACATGAACTAGGGCTTACCTGAAAGTCGGCCAAAGAGTCCACTTTCACTTTGGCGACGCCGCTGTGCGCATGCCCGATTTTGATCACAACTGGGAACTTTGGTGCCGTTACCTGAAACAATGTTGACAAATAACAATTCAAACATCAACAATACTTACATGAAAAATATATATAACTAGGAACCAAAGTTAAATGTAAGAAACATAATAAGGGGCATACTAAAGACATAACAATTAATATTACATCAATAGAAAATGAAATGCACTCGTATACATAACACTTAGATAAATATGTACTATGAGAATTTTCCGAAATTAATATAAATACTTTGAGAATTTTTATAATAACTTATTTGTATTTTTATCAGTCGCGCGGTCAGAGCCTCAGTCTATCTAATAGGCAAGTTGATCAGCATCCCGTGCCTGACACACACCGTCGACTGGCTCTAAGGTAAGCCGGTTTCCTCGAGATGTTTTCGTTAACCGTTCGAGCAAATGTTAAATGCGCACATAGAAAGAAAGTTCATTGGAGCACCGAACATATATTATTGCAGTGATGCAGTCGGACATGGAACCTACAACTGCAGGGATGAGAATACCGCACGCTGAAGCCACTAGGCCAACACTGCTCACTTCAAATTCTTACTCGCTCGCTACAAATAATGGATATTAAAAATGCACAGGACTAATAATTTAACTATTTATAATACGAAAATATCAATTTATAAACCTTAAACGCATGAATTACCACAAACTATATATGCCTTTGAAAATTTGTTTAATTTAAGATAATAGAAATAGTTATAGAATAGTATAATAAAATAGAAATAGTATAATAAAACCACCGCATTGCTGGTTTTATCAAATTTCTTTGTATTCCCTAACATCGCTCATCTAGAAGCATGCTGGAGTTTCTCCTTCGTTGTCAACGTCCCCAGGTGCCGAACTACACGATTTGGTTCGTCATTTCTTATAAAAACAGTAAAAGAGTGGATCCTTTCATCTTCCCTAGACAGCATTATATCTGTTCATTTAAGCGGCTCTTCAACAGCAATCTCCTGGACCAGCATGTTCTTCAAGAGGCTATATCTCATTTATCATCAGGTAGGATTGGGGCCAGAGATCTGTCCAGTTTAAAAAAATCACGAAGACAATACTCAAATCTGTCTTATAAGACATAAACATATGGAGCGGCAATTACTGCTGAAGTTAAAATAAACAGTCTATCATTAAAGCGCGCTTGACATTATAATTATTAAATGAACTGGAAAACCATCAAAGGCAATATAGAAATATGAGTAATAACTGTAGAACTGTTAATAATGCCGGTACTGTGATTATACCATTAGCATTATCATAGTATCAACCATTAATCAAAACGATTAATGTATTTTGTTTATGCGCATAATGTATTATATTCACATTGTTTTTATATAAGCCGTAAGTATACTTTAAAGTTACCTATCAGCGCTACATTTGGGGCCTGCCCTGCGATTCTGTAACTCACTTTTCGAACTCGCACAGCGGTTTTCGCAGCGGCGGTCGCGCTCAAATCAGTCGTGAAGCAGTCATTTTATGATTTGGCATTCTGATAAGGAGAGAGCTTGTAGTTTGTTGTTTATCAGAATGCCAAATCGTAAAATGACTGCTTCACGACCGCCGCTGCGAACACCGCTGTGCGAGTTCGAAAAGTGAGTTACAGAATTGCAAGGCTGGCCTGGTAGTTAAGCTAACTCCAAAAAAGTACATTGTTTCTTTCCATTTTTTTTCATCATTTCTTGAAGTAGGGAGATTGGCAAAAATATATGGTGGAGTTAAGTTGTTTATGTATCAATTTGGAAAAACCAATACACCATTTAAATAACTTCGATATAAAAAAATCCAAACAGCCAATTTTTTACATTTTGAATTCATTTTATGACGAAAATGTATATAGAACATGATTTTGAAATTTACACGATATATTTTATCGCAAGACAAGTAATCCATTTCAGAAAAAAAATTGATAAAATTACATTTATTTAATGTTTTACATAACTAATTGTTATTAGTGCTCCAGCTCTCCACTACGCACCGCAGTACATCCCGAGAAGTGTCTCGGTTTTGCTGTGTCAGTGGACACAGCAATTCGTGCTGGGATAGGGCCTTAAGAGTCCATTTCATTAAGAGCAAGTGGAACATAGATAATTCTATTAATGCACACACTAGACTAACACTGTCTCTCGTGCTTTTAAAGATACCGAAGAAGGACAGCCAAACAGCAGCCCTTACCAAAAATTGCAATCTTAATTATCTTATCCCTACAGGGTATTTAAAACTAATAAACCGTATCCAGTTTCTATTTTAGTTATCTATACGAAAGTTCATCATAATTGATTTAGATGTTTAGGCGTAGCATGACTACTCTTGTCAAACAAATTCACTAATAATATTTGGATGTCATGATCTCTTAAAGAGATTCAATTTTGAGATCAAAGATTCAGATGTCTGGAATCTTCACAAAAAGATTTAATTTTCTGATTTGGATATGTTTGGGCGTACCGCTTACTTTAATATAATACATTATGTATTTGGTTAAGATTTTCTTGCATAAGATAATGGTAACATATACTATGGCATGGGGCATGCACGTGTTTACGCCAGATTTATTGTTTTTCATTTGACCTATACTGTGAAAATGTCTGGTCGGGTCAAACCAAAGACGGATCGCTAAAGTGTCTGCGATTGGAGAGATTGACCCATAACAATCAAACAAAACATCTTTATTTCGTCTTTTGTTTTATCACAGTCCAGTACCATTAGTATCACAGCGCAGTAGTTTAGCACGAATCATATAGTTTCATCAAGTATTTGTTTATCAGTTTCTGACAGCTCCACATCTATTTTTCATACTTTTGGTGTACTACAGAAATTGTATTCGAAGTATGTACATTTTTATACAAAAGTTTAGTGTAACTATTTCATTTATACACTGGCATCTTTTCCTCGAAGGGTTAGATAGAGACTACCATCTACACTTGCTACGGCCCTGAAATACCTCTTTCGCTTCGTCCACTTTCATGACATTTTTCATGGACCTTTGACCTGTCCCTTCTCTAGTATGTCCTGGATTCGGTCTGTACCCGGACTCAACTTATTTATTCATAGAAAAACCACCTAAGCATTCCCTCTTTACGTTCTCTTTATACCACACTGCTCACGTGTCTCATTTACTATTCTATTACGTATTATTTTTTAAGTATTATTCGTTCTACCTACTCCTCGATCTTAATTACGCAGGCATTAATGTTTGAAAACTTTTGCACTCAATAAAATCAAAACGGATGTAAAGTCATAACAAAAGTTTCTCGAAAATGTATGCATTTGTCATAGTTTAGAAATTGGCACAAATTCAATATGCAATATCATTCTAAATATAACCCACTTGACGATTAAATAGTGAAGTATCGGAAACGTATAAATTTCAAAATCTTGCAATTTTTTGTACCTGCCCTGCAATTCTGTAACTCACTTTTCGAACTCACACAGTGGTTTTCGCATCGGCGTTCGCTCTCAAATCAGTCATTTTATGATTTGGCATTCTGATAAACACTAAACTACAAGCTCTACTACAACTACCTATTCAGAATGGCAAATCATAAAATGACTGCTTCATGACTGATTTGAGAGCGACCGCCGATGCGAAAACCGCTGTGTGAGTTCGAAAAGTGAGTTACAGAATCGCAGGGCTGAAATAGACGCATCTGATGTGTTACTCTATAAATCCAATTCGGTAATGAAATACCCAATATTTCTCTGAAAATCCGTAACGCTGGTTTCGTAAACTTGGAATTACGTTGTACGAAAATGCAATATTTTATAAGTGAATTTGTGTTGGTAGTTAGTAGTAGCAGGCTTGTCCGTATTCTAGGAACTACTCTATATCCTATTGTTCTGGGTAAACCTAAATTACAGAACCCTTCTACGACTTTATTATCGCAACACTTTATTACACAATACAAGATTCGAAGAACTACAACAATTAGGAGAATCACGGTCTTCCCGCTTATGTTTTCCTAGTGAAATAATGCGTAAAAAATTATGGAAAAGTAAAACAAGTACGAAATTTAGGTACTAGTGTAAAGATTTTATACGTTTGAAAATAACTATTGCAAATCCATTACGTATTCCCGTGGGCGCCTATGTAATGGCGATAATAGCTAAACTAAATTTATTTTTATAAAATGCGTGTTTAGATCATACATCTCACATGTTGCAGGTAAACCCATCATTTTTTTAACAATTCTTTCAAATAAATCATTTTTTCATAAACACGAAAGCTATAAATTTTCAAATTTATGGACACTTTTATGACTCCTTAAGTATTGCTGGATCTATAAATCGGATTTGCTTGTGTTCAAAATTGGTACGTCCTTAGATTAAATTCTAATTGTAGCGTATATTGTGAGCACTTCTGGCCTAGTGGAACGGATTAATGGCATTTTCTTATTATGTGCGCAATTACTTGAACCTCCTACGGTGAAGGCAAACATCGCGAAGAAACCGGCATGTTCTAAACCCAAATGTCGATGGCATGTGTCAGACACAGAATGCTCATTTAGTATATAATATTAAAATTAGGGGCCTCATAGCCTAGCGGTCTTATTAAGTGGCAGCTAGGTGAGGGGTACCGGGTTCGATTCCCGGTTCGAGGGCAAGTTTTAATTTAAATTTGTTCTCGGCCTTTGGGAGGGTGGTGCGGTACCGGGCGAGTGCCTTAACCGTCCATGGAGGACATGGTCGAATTTCTAAAGACAAGCACGAATTATAAATATCTTATACTTGACGCTGGCTAATGCACAAACCGGGCCAGAGCCATAAAAAAAATTAAAATTATCGAGAAATTAAGCAAATACCCATTTAGGGTTGTAGCGCCGCTGGATAGCTATTATTGTTTAGCATACATGATTGTTTATGGTATTTTACGGTTTTGATTTCTGTATCTGTTTCTTTTGTTGTTTGTGAGGAAGAAGTTGACAGGCCTTCTAAGTAGCTTCGCACTTTTATAGACATGCCAGTTTAGTGCCTAGCCAAAGTTCGAACTACTTTAGGGCAGTGAATCGTACTACCCAACGCTTACAATTGTACATAAATAGAATGTATAATGTAAGTAATAAATCGTTAGATAACCTTACCTTATAGTTTATATTTGAAAAGAATGACATATAACAATTAAGTATTTAGTTCTTAGTAATTTGTTGTGCTGAATTTGTAAAGGCAATGTGGGCGTCATTCGTAAGTTATACTTCCCAAATGACGCATCATTCAAACAAAATCATATTACTATGTATGGTGCGGTGTCCAATAATAACATCCTACCATTCGTTAAGGATATTTATAAACAGCCTACTTGTTCTTATGTTGATATAGATAGGTAGTTCCGTAGAGTGACCAGGGGGTGGGAGTAATTATCAACACTTTATTTACTTCACAAACAATACCAAATAACTGAGTAAAGAAGACAAGTTAATGGGCTGTCTACCTGCTGAAAATTTTGGGCCTAGTGGATTCAGCGTGCAAATCTGATATCCAAGGTCGCAGATTCACACCCAGACTCCACCAATGGGCTGTATATGTGCGCATTTAACACTCGCTTGTACGGTGAAGAGAAATTTCGTGAGGAAACCGGCATGTCTTGGACAAAAAAAGAAGGCGTCTGTCAGGTTCAGAAGGCTACTAACTACCCTACCCTACTAAACAGATACAGAACAGATAAAACAGATACAGAAATCCGAGGCCGAGCTTGAAAGGTTGTTCGCCACTGGATTTTTTCTTACTTCGAAAAGCAGTTCTTGCAGGCAACCCAGTCTATGAGACAACTCGGAACGTAAAACAATAGACAAATGGCTATTCAATTGTTTGTGATTGGCTAACATCATACTAAGGAATCCAATTACTGACTCGAGAGAGGATCCGTCTTTGTTTGACCTATAACAATTGTCCTGATAGCATCCACTGCCTCTCGTTTTACATTATAACCCCAGAGATGCCTGGGTGTCAATTACGTAATAACTTTGTAATTCTTTATCTCTGGGGACTTATAAGATCACATGGTCAACCCTCTCATATGCCGTGTGCCGTGAACTATCTGTCATCTATGATAATACTACTGCGGTAGAAAGAAGATTGGTCAACGATAGCAATCGGGTACAGACATTTCCTAGTCGGCGATGCGTGAGATTATTAGATCGTGATCGCCTTCAGAGAAGGCTTGTTCGGCCTTAAACACTGTTTTTTTAGGTTTAAATATACTCATAAGAGACAATTTAGAATAGGAGACACACTACAAAATTTCCTTGTAAATCAAAAACTTGGTGCTTTAAAAGAGCTGTGGAGAGTTTCTTGTATTCTCACCCGCTATGAACTACTGAGGTATTGGTGTTACACCATATATTTATTTAATATTAACGTCATAAGTTTATCTAAATAAATCCATACATTTTGATTTGATTTGTCAATATTGACATTATATATATAAGTGACAAGTTAACTTCCTTGAGTGAACAAATTATTTGTTTGTGTGTTTGATTATAGAGTAAATATCAAAAATAAATAGTTGGAATTTTCGATTATAAAAGATTTATGAAGATATTATATTATTATGAGGTCTGAGACTATATCTAAATGTACTTGTAATTTTATATGACTAACATTTTTAACCAAAAACGATCTAAAGCATGCACAAGCAAAATGATGAGTAAATGACATTTTTGCGACGTAGAGTCATATATTAGTTTAAGTCCTTTTATGGACATTACGTCTCTTTGGTAAGTTTCTGGGACTTCGAAACTAAAAAACTAGTGACGAGTCCGTGCCTTGGATATTCAAAAACATTGAATTTAACAAGCATTAACCAAACTTAGTCATAGAGGAAGCTTTGGTTCAATATTTAAGTAATAATACCTGTATCTACAAACAAATACAGTTTTTTAGTAATTTAACATTACATCTGTAGGGTGTGAATAATATTTAATAGTACATGTATATCTTTTAGTTTTTTACTTACTATAAAAAAGCTAAAACTGTATATTTAATGGACAATAAGGAATTTTTTTGGCCTTTAGCACTTTCAGTCATACTTACATGACGTTAATGTTCAATCGCATGGTCAGATATCTATCTGTTTCATGATCATTTGTCAATCTAATAGGCAAATAGGTGATCAGCCTACTGTGCTTGACACACGCCGTCGACTTTTGGGTCAAACTGTTTGCTCACGATGTTTCCCTTCCCGTTTGAGCGAATGTCAAATGAGCACATACAAAGACAGTCCATTGGTGTACAGCCGGGGATCGAACCTACGACTTCTGGGATGACAGTCGCCCGCTGAAGCCACTAGGCCATTACTACTTCTATGCTTCACAATTGTTGAGATATTAAACTCATCTAAGCGTACTTGGGATTGATTTGTTCCAGTTCAAATATTTATGGCTGCTCTGCCTTATATACAATTTGTGTGACTCAAAACTTGGCGATAAAAACAGTGGCGGAGAGTTTCTTGCCAGTATTTCTTGCCCGCTCTACGCCCCTGACTTGCGAACTGGTAGTAAATGTAAATTTAGAATCTTTCAACATATTTTCTGTTGACGTTCATAAGTGTACTTGGTTACCTTTATGAATAAAGTTATTTTGAGTATGAATTTAAATAAAACCTCTTTATAAGATATTGCTTTTAACCGTCTGTCACCACCAAGGCTTTGTAATGACAGCGGTTATAATTTGCCCTATAACTAGAATTCTTATCTGCCGATGGATCTGTTTGATAACTTTGCGGCGCCTATGCATTCAATTCAAATCGATACAATAGCTGACAATGCGTCTTAATGACTATAAGACCACGTTCACAATTACCAGTTAACTTTATTCGAGCCCGGCTTCTTACATATTACATGCCAACACATGCCCAGTGCGAGCGTTATACATGTAATGTCCAAATTGCTTACAATGTTTCTTTTTTGGTATTGACTTGGCTGGCTCGCTTCTGGGTTCTATGAAAGCTGTCTACCGTTACAGACGTTACCT